ATGATAATACACATCAAAGATATAGACTTATACCTCAGTTTTATGAAGTAAAAAGGTCTACCATTGATCTCTGTACCTGTTTCAAAAACTTGATTTTAAAGAAAAAGTCCTTATTAACTTCCTATTTGTTCTTATTGTATTTAAAATTAAATGTATTTCAGGAGTAATTTTCATTTGCCCGAATGTGAGAAAATAGAAAGGGAAAAATCTATTTTTTTATTTTAAGTTTTAATAAGGTAGAAATAGTATTAAAAATGAAGTATTAAAATCTTATTGTTTTTAAAGCTGTAAGGCTAAAGAAGCAACATCAGTCATTTGGGGTGAGAAAACTTCGTAGCTGAGGTGTCCTTCTATTCATAAGGTGAAAAAAAGAAAAAACCTCCTGGAGAGCCTGAATATGTTTCATATGTAAACACCCAATGGGTATTTCTTAAGGGCCAGCCATTTATCTATGGTCTAAAAGCTGTAGTAGCAGGTAAGATTAGCATACCTCTATTGGTGAAATTATTAAGGCCACTCCATGTAGTTAAAAAGGAGGTTTATTTAGTGTCATAAATTATAAATGAAGGGATAGGTAGGTTGCAGGGTCTAAGAAAGACCTGGCACAGTCCGGCGGTGTTCTCTGGAGAACTCTGCTCGGTCTACTTCCAGCGTCCAGTGTCCAGGAACCAAGAGAGCCCACATCCAGATCTTGGGTCTTCAGGGTCCTCTCTTGGCCCCACCTTGTAGGTGTGACAGTTACCGAAACCTCAGTGGGGGTTGGAACTTCCAGATCAAAGCTGGAATGGCTACCCACTACATACCTCCATCAATAAGGACCTGAAATATAAAAGAAAACTTCACATCTGATTTTCAATGGAAAAATAATAAATCTATAACAAGATGGAGAATAATTAAGACAGTGCTGTTTTGTTTCATCCTTGAACTTTTTTAAAACATTTTTTCATTTATTTTATATACTGACCATAGTTTCCCCTCCCTCTTCTCCTCCCCCTTTCCCCCCCCTTTCTCCCGCCCTCGCCAATTCTCACCTATCCACCTCCCAATCCACCCCTCCTGGATCTCCATTCAGAAAGAGGTGGGCCTCCCAAGGGCTTGAACAAAGCATGGCACATCAAGTTGAGGTAGGACTGAACTCCTCCTTCTGCATCAAGGCTGGCAAGGTAATCCAGCATGGGGAACAGGTTCCCAAAAGCCAGCTAAGTGCACAGGACAGTCTTTTATTGAAAATATGATTTTTCCCTTACATAATATATTCGGATTAGTTTCCCTTCCCTTATTTTATTCCTGATTTTAGAAGAATTGCTCTGATTTCTCTCCATTTAAGTTGATGTTGGTGTGTGCTTGCTGTAAACTGTCTTTATTATGTGGAGGTATATCTTTATACCCCTAATCTCCCCAAGACTTTTATCATGAAGGGTTTTGAATTTTGTCATAGACCTTTTCTGCACCTTCTGAGATGATCATGTGGCTTTGCCTTTCAGTTTGTTTATATGGTGAATTACGTCTATCAGTTCACCTATTTTATATCATTCCTGCATCTCTCTGATGAAGTCTACTTGATCATGCTGGATGACACAAAGAACATTGTCCAATTCTTTTTATGAGGCTGCAGTTACCCTAACACCCAAAACACATAAACACCAAACAAAGAAGTAGAATTACAGACCGAATTCTCAATAAAATATTTGCAAACTGAATCCAAGAATACATCAAAAATCTATGATTGACAGGCTATCTGTAGTATGGAACCAAGCACTGGGCACAGGTCTGAAACTGTGCCTTCATGGGTTATTTTCTTATTCATTTGAAGTTTCAGCGACCTTTGAGTACAGCCCAGCATGTGATAATGTGATGTGTCCAACTGAATCAATATCAGGACCATGTTATTGAGAAAACTGATCCAGGACCTTGCATCTAAACTGACAATCAGTTTTAGACCTCTTACACACTTACTTCTTGAGTTGTAGACACTTAATCTTCTAAGTGTGTGTGAATACCAAGTAAAGAAATGGTTATACATATTATCTCCTCCTAACTTCGCTGATCAGTTTACTAATTGACATCTCATATTTATTACCTTCAAGAACAACATACTGATATTCAACTGTCTTATTCTCCCCAGTAAGTAAATAAATGGAAAATCCATGATTTTGGGATATTTAGGAGAGAAACAAAATCCTGGTCCTTGTTACGCAATTTTCATTTACTTACTTTTTTAGCTGACATCCTATAGTCAATCTATCAATGAATATTTTTCACTCAACTATCAAAATGTAAGCTAGGATTTGAAAGCATCTTCTTAAGCCCACTGCCATAACTCTGTGTATATCAATGTGTGGATCATTGCTACATCATCAGATCTGAGTCATTTCTACCTGGTCTCCATGCTGCTTTCCTGTCCCATTACAGTCCTTATTGACACTGGGCCCCTTCTTATGGCCATTCTACTCACAACCTCTGATAAGATCCCAGCCACTTTCCCTGAGATTTTCTTGCCCACCTAAGCCTGAGGACACTTGAACTGCTTTTTCTTAGTGCCTTTTCATGTTTTAATGGGATATACTTCCCTTAGAAATGCTCTTGACCATTCTGCAGCTCCTTTGGTGCTTTTACTTAGAATTCAGTTTCTCCCAAAGGCATTTCTCTGAAAATTTATCTCTTCAATGTTCTAGATCCTTTTCGTTGCTTTATTATTGTCCGTATGATTCATGGCAATCTAGCATAATTTTATATGGCCACTTTTTATTTTGCTTTAAATACATCAACTTCACAGGGTGAAAGCTCATAAGAATTGAAAATTTTATTCGCTGATAGGCTCAATTCAGGTATGTAATGATTGTATGATATGTATTTGCTAAATGGGTGAATAACTAAATAAATGCATGTTTACTACTGAAGAAAATTTAACTGTAGGAAAATGTAGCCCAATACATTTGGGAACTTAAGTTTCTGAACAGCATTTTATATTAAAAGGGACACAATATTTAATTAAAAAATACTTTACTTTGAATTCTTGGTATTTTAATGCCTGTATTCCAACACTGGTCTCTACACAGGTATCATATCCAGCAAGTTCCTTGTTATGTGTTCCCATTAATGGGAAATATAACTAGAATTTTATTTTACACAAAGGTCCAAAAATTCAAAGTGATGGTTGCCATACCAACTACATTTCAGCCCCTCAGCTCATATGAATTTTTTCTATTACTTATACCTGCTCTTAACTTTTATGCTTTAAAATATATAAAGGCAATTTGTCTGCCTCCTTCCTACTGCTGTGGGATTTGTCTACAATTTATGCTTCAGGGCTCACTGTGGGACTGCAACATGGCAGAGCACACAGAATTCCTCTTTTTTTTTTTTTTTTTTGGCAATGAGAAAGAGAATGTGTTTCTCTTACTGCTGAAGTCCACCCATAAAATAAAAAAAAAAGAAAGAAAGTTGTTGCTCCACATTATAAGGAAGAGAGAAACTAAAGTACTTTTACATTCCACATCTGCCTTGGCTCTCCCCAAAGCCTGCGTTTTATTAAGGTGCCTTCTCCTGACATATGCGCTGCTGCTTTTTATCAGTCTTATGAGACTCCAGGCACAAATCCTCATCCTTAATCTTGCAATTCATATGGAAATTAGAGCCATACAGATTATTCTGTCTCCATGAGATGACTTCTTGTCCAGAGCTGTATTTCAGGAGGAATAATAGAATCAAACTAGCTGGATGCCATTCCTTCAGGCCTTTATGGGAAAAATAGCTGATGGCAATACCACTTCAGGACATTAATTCCTTCTTGCCATCTCCAGAAAGCTAAGCTCCTAAACACAGCTTCAGAGCCCTTTGTTTATGCCTATTGTATTTAATGTGTCATTTTCGTGAGATTATATCACAATTAAACAGAAAGTAGAGCAGGTCAAATTCACCAAGCTTCATAGCAACCTGACAAGGACAAGGTCACCAAAGAAGAAATTCTACCATTTGACCTAACACAAATTTTGGGCCAAGTGCACTGGATTAACAGATAGACTTGCAGGTGAGGTACCATGGCAACATAATTTGACTTTGTTGAAAACTGTTGTTGACTATTTCAGACTGAATAACTGACCATGACCAGAACCCAAATCATTTCCATCCTCTCAGTCTTGGCTTGGTATGAGGACATATTCTCACATTTTTTTTTTCAATTTGTGGAGAAAGTTCAGGGCTTTATAGGTCTCTATGGAAAGTAAATCTTAGTTTTCCTCTTGGAATATAAAATAATCAATATTGTAACCTGTGGATAAATTTAAATGATTTAATTTGCTTACATTGTCCTCAGCATAACCTATTCATCATATACTGCTTACACGGGGATTGTTATATACAAGCTTCTGCTGAGTGTGTCATTAGATGGTAATGGGCACACTTTTATTCTAACATGTAAAGAGCTGATTAAAATTATTTTTAAACCCAAATTTTGTGCAGTTCATGGTTATCTCATTTTATAACTAGATAAATAGTAAGGATTATATATAGAAACATGTATTACAGACTGTGTTGAATATTACTGCATATTAATACATGAATAATTTTCTTAAATTTGCCTTAATTGTTACCATTATCTTAGATTTATAGTTTATAATGAGCTGGGTTTATATAAAAACATTAAATAAGGTTGATTTCACAGGAACAATATTTATCTTACTTGTATAAATATATGTATAAGTATATGCTTAACTCTAAAATATGATGTCTTCCATGTTTTATTTCTGTTTTCCTGACAAAGAATTCAAATTCTTTTTTTAATTAAGAAAAATTTTTCATTAATTTTACACACCAATCAAGATCCCCCTCTTCCCTCCTCCTGCCCCCCCAGTAACCCTCTGCAACCCCCCCCCCACTTCCCTCCACACAAGAAGGCAAGACTTCCCATGGGGAGGAACTAGAATTCAAATTCTTAAGAGACATAAAATGATTTTTGTATTATTGTAAGTGATAATAATTTAAAAATATATTTCATCTTTGTAAACCTGAGTTTTAGCAGAGAAATGATTGGATTTGAAGGAAAGAAAATTATCTTCTCTCTAGTTCCGCTATTCCTAATACAGTATGACTTTATTCAAATAATTTATCCTCTGTTATTTAAAAAGTTTTTCCTGTTTCAAAACTTTGTTTAAACTCTTCTCTAGAAATCATATATGAAAGGATAATGATGGAGGAAAAGGATATTGTAATAAAGTGATTGAAACTGAGGAGGGAGAAATGAAATAAGACAGTTAAGGAAACGCAGACATAATCTAGTTTATAAGAATGAACACACTGTCTCTTTCACCCTAAAAATATGCAGGATCGCTCCTATAAAAACGAACCTCAAGAAAACCTCCAAAGTTTCTTCTCAACGGCAGGTGCTGCAAGGGTAAGGCAAAAGAAAACGTAGTAATGACTACCATGTGTTTCTTTTCTCATAATTACTGTTGGGAGTTTCTCAGGATTCTTCATGTCTGTTAGCTAATGGAATTGAAGAGAGTTGTCACCCACTAGGAAACTTACCACAGCCATGAAGTTCTTGGGGCCAGATGCCAGATATTTTCCTGAGTTAGTTGTTGCTCTAATGGTTAATTCTGCATGATAAATTGACTCACCCAGGTATTCAATCAAAATGTTGTCGTGTATGTGCCTGCAAAGATATTTCTGGGTGAGATTAATATTCAGATCAGTAGAATGACAAAGCAGGCTGTATTCTTTCATGTGTGTGGTTATTGTTCAATGAGTTGAAGGCCAGTGTTGAACAAAAGCATTAACCTTCTCCTAAGGAAGTAAGAAAGTCTCCTTCCAGACTGATTTCCATCTTGGACAATAGCTTCTTTCTGACACTGAAGTTCTTCCTAGGTCAGCCTGCCAGGCTATAGCCTGGAAATACATCACTGGTTTGTAGGCTTTCTGATCTGAACTTACTTGACCTATTGGCTTTTTTAGTCTTCCATGCATAGACTCATCATGCACATCCAAAGCCTAGTCACTCATAAGCCCATTCCTTCTGACAGATCTCTTGACAGTTGCACACACATTGTACGATCCCGTTTCTATGCATCACTGTCTAGTGCAGTCACCAATAATGATAACTCAGCCCATGAACTAAATATTTGAATCTCACCTTCCTCAAATTCAGATATTATAGTCTGAACCTCTAATGTGATGGTTTTGGGAAATGTCCTTTATAGGGTTAGACAAGATCGTTAGGTCCTTAGACTCTGGAGTGTGCTGACTTTCTCACCCAGTGATCACATGACAGGCCTATGAGCACAGTGATTGGGTGGCTCTGTACAAAAAGGAAATCCCTGCCACAGACTGATCCTGCTGACACCCTGACACTAGATTGCTGTCTTCTAACACTGTCATAAAACAAGTCAACTGTGGAAGCCACCCTGTCTACGGCTTTCAGCTTTGTTATTAGACACCCATTCTGTCCAATAACTAGGATTTGTGTAGTATCCTGCATTTTTAAATATATTCATCATCATATTACAAACTCCTTAAAATCCAAAGAAATAGACAGTTCAATTTTCCCCAGGGAAGGTAAAACAGAGACACAATATACGACAACATATTAACTGCTCAAAAAATTGAGACAATTTAATGCCATTAGTGTTCAAGATATGGTTTATGTACACCGTATTGAAGATCTCACTGGAGCATGCTGGTGTGTACTTTCTTTATATCCATGTAATCTTAGTGTCATCCAAAAAATAAACCCAAATTCCCTTTGGCAGAAGCACATACTCATATGCTTTCCTTACTGCAATCTGATGTTAATGATAAGCAGCATGAATATGGTATATTCTCTACTACACTGGCAGTTACAGTGGGCCAGGTATAGACTTTGGGAAAATGTGAGATGTTAACCATATAATGGATTTCTAAATTATTCCATGCGAGATCAGCTCCTGACATCCAGTAAAATGTAGCAGCGTCCAGAATCTCTCCAGCTTTGCAAGAAAAGCAAGAGAGAAAGCCAATGAAAGGTGTTCTGCATTCAAAATTAGTGATGTGGTTTTCACCCCTAAAGATGTCATTTCCCAATCCTTTAAATCACTGTGTTTTTCAATTTAGTAATCTGCAGAATTAGAGAACATATACATGACTTACATGTTAAATTAACTTACACAGTTGATTAGCAGGCTTAAAAGTAATAACTGTAATTTTGTCTAAGGAAAACAATTCAGCAATTTCAGTGCAAAAATTGAAAAAGGTAAATCAAGAGAAAAGCTCAAAAGAATAATCAATACCTTCTATAATTCTCTCTAAACATTTACTGTATCATATAGTTCTACATATGTTTATTATATACACACAAACAGGCTTCGTAGAAACCATCATTAAGTTCCCCATCTCTCACATACTTCTACAAGAGGGAAGTATGGAGTCACTAGAACCATGTGCTAGGAGATGTTGGGGCTAACTACACAAAATGGAGACTATCATTTTCTGTCAATTAGTATTGCATACTTGGACTGTCCTTCTGGTCCTTAGCAGGGAAAAAAATTGAAGGAAAGCTAATGAACCAATCTACATGCTCACCCTTTTCTGATAAGAACATGATCACAAATGCAAGTCACTCTTAACCAATGAAGCAATGATATTGACTAGGAGGGATTGGATCATGGCCAACAACCAAAGAAATATTTTCTTGGTTGCTGGTCATAATTACCTATCTCTTGCCTTGGACCCAGAAAGGGTTAAAAGGGGAACAGAGCCAGAGAAATAGAAGTGAAGGAGAGATGTGTATAATTTTCTATTTGATCAAGGTCTATATTAATTTAAGATTTGAAATATATTGAGATTTTTTTAATGGTCTACTATAGTATAATATTTGATAATCGCCTATGTGATTGTGAAAGAAAATTTCAGAGTTACCAGCATAAAGTATATACAAATGAATTAAATAAAGCTATTTGAAGCTATCTTAAAATTTTCTATATCCTTATAGACTTGCTATAAAAACAGCACACTATCACATGGTTCTGCTAACTTCTCAATGTAAAAATTTCAGGTTTCGCATCATGTATTTTCAAGCTCTATTAGAAATATACATGATTAGAAGTATGTCTTACTGCTAAAATGATGCTTCAGTTCTCAAAATTTTCTTATTATATTTGGTAGTATTTTTGAACATTGTTTATTATCCAATATTAATAAAACTACAAAAGTATTCGGATTCTTAATATTTACTTAATATATCATTTTCCATTTTACTGTCTACATAATTGTGGCATTAAATTATGTAAAGTTCATATATAGATGCATGTGTTCATATATATAATATATATATTTAACTGAGCAGCTTGTATTTATATTTACAGTAATATTTTTAGAAATATATATGCAGTATATATGTGATGGATTGAACAGCTAACATAACCTTCTGTGTTTGAATTCTTGGTCCCAGCTGGTCGAACTGATTGAGAAGAGTGAACAAGTCTGGCCTTGTAGAAGGAGGTGTGTCACTGGGAGTGAGTGGGCTTTTAGATTTCAAAAGCCCATGCAACTCTCAGTTAGCTTCTCTAACTCTTGATTGTGGATAAAATATGAACTCCCAGCTACTGTTCCAGCATTTTACCTGCCTGCTCCAATAAGCTCTTTCTTATATAAGTAGCCTTGCCTATACACACACACACACACACACACACCATATATATGTAACAACAATTAAAGAAAAAGAGGCCACCGTAGTTAGAGAAAGAGCAGGAGGTCATACATGGGAGGGGTTAGACTGAGAAAAGGGAAAGGAGAACATGAAGTACTTATATTTTAATTTTAAAAATTAAAAATAATTAAAATATTTTACCTTGAATTTGGTTCTGATCTTTACTAAATGTTTTTAGGTTTGGACTTCTTTGTAGTTATCTTCTTAAATAGCTGAATTTATAGGACATGTATAATGACTTCATGATATTCAAATTTAGTGTTATATTTTATATATATAATTTTGTATACTTACATATATAATTTTGTCTTCAACTCTCTTCTCTACCCACTTCTACTTCCATTTTTCTATACTTTTGATATTACATTCCTATTTATCCATTTACAAATAGGTTGAGGTGGTTGTTCTTCTACAAATATATATTTCTGTTCACTTCAATAATTTCTTCTAAGTTTTTAATAGCACAATCCTATTGACTTGCTTTCTAGTTCATTAACACCCCCCATTTTTTACAGTCTTCATTCAGGCAAAATCTTTCAATGATTCATTAGTTCAGAAAATTTGTTGAATTTATTTGACAGTTTCTACTTCTCTATTGTATTATCTGTAATTTCTTTCTAATGCTCACATTTTTAAGTACTTGAAAATATTTCTAATATGATTTTAGAGTCTCAGTTCCTATGTACAGTAATTGTTTCTTGTTTAGTATGAGTTTTATTTTCCTATTTCTTCATATGTCTAGTGTTAGACGTGTGATTGGGCTGTTATCCATAGGTAATCAAGATTTTTTTTTTATTTTAGGGGAACTGACATTGCTAACAAAGCCCATTAGACTTATTCTTGTTATTTTGTGTGTGAAACATGAAGTTCATGAAATTCAATAACTATGAACTTCAAGCATAGTAATAAATTAAAATATATTTAGAATTAAAGTAGTGAAAATTACTTCTAAAAAGTCAACAAAAATCATAATCCTCAGGGAACACTTGAATGATAATGAAAATCTAGCACGTAAGACAGTAAGTAGAACAATGTAAACCACAAATATCTATCTTTAAAGGAGGCAAGGAAGAGGCTGATGGTTAATTTTCTATTCATATTACAATGAATCAGTCAATGATTGTGGGCATTTTTCAGCACTTATCATTCCCATACACACCAAACATCTTAGTTTAAGCATGTATCACTTTTCTTCTCCAAGGTATTTTAATGGTGCATTTAGTAGACATGGAGTAGGTTGAATATACCAGAGACAGGAAAACTTCAAGAATAGCCTTCTGCTCATGATCCAGACATTTTTATATTTATAACCTCAAATGCCTTTGTGTCTTTCAGATGTTTGTATATGAAGGAAAATGCTAATATTTCTCTGTTTCTTTTATTTAAGGTCATGCATTTATATTTCCAGACTTACTTAACTCAGTTTATGTTGACTTACTAAGTTCTTTAAAACTGAACAGCATCCATCTTTTATATGTTCATTATTTTCTAATTTTTTCACAGTTGACCATCTGCCCCTGATATTTTAGTTTTGTTCTGTATAATTTTTACCATACACAAGTTAAAGATTTATTTTCCTTTCCAAGGTTCTCTTTTTTTATCATAGAGGATGCCATTGATCTTCTCAAATTGCAAGTCCTCAATTACCTGCCTGGTGCACTGGCTCTCCCACTGTTGTGCATTTTGCTGTTAATGGCTCATAGCACCCTGTCCTCTGGAGAAACGTTCTCAGCACATCTTTGAGCTGGAAAATCACAGATCCGTGGAGTAAAGGTGAAGGTCAGAGTCTCTGACTGACTGAAAGAAGAACACAAAAGTCTAGTTCCCGTATTTCAGGTTGCCTAAGTTCTTTTAACAGCTTGTCTCAAACTCCCCATTTGGTCACAATGAAGTCTTACTTAAACCAAAAAACACTGATTTTTCACCTTCTCTCCATCTCCTGCTCCTTTTGAGTGCACACAGTGGCCCATAAACTGCATCCATTTGATACTTGCCTCAAGATCTTCTCTAGTCAATGGAGTATAAAACCTATAGTTTCCTCTCTTAAGATACAAGCCCAATTCTATTCCACTTAGGCTTTTACTTGTTATTATATACTGTGAAATTATATATATATATATATATATATATATATATATATATATATATATAATTGGCAATATTCCATAATTCCTATTACAGGCTCCTTTGGCTGTGGGTCACACTATTAATTTTTAGCTCATATTACTATGACAGCATGTGAATTAAGCTGAGATGTATTTTTAAGGGGACACTGAATATATACTGAAATTTTATCAAGCCATGGCAAAGTACATAAAACTAGCCGAGATAAAATACGTTAGTTATTGGACAATAGAACTCAGGAAGGAACCAAACATTCAAACTACAGAAATGCAAAGTAGGTAGAGGCCTTAGGTGACACTCCCATCACTGTATTGTTCAAAGGCTCCCTTGGAAGTTTCTTCCCTTTGTATTTCTCTGTTTCATTTTCTTTCCCTCCTGTGACTTAAATAATGAATACCAGCTGTCTCTCTCTCTCTAACTCTCTATCTCTATACATACATATACATATACATACATACATACATACATACATACATATATATATTCAATTCTACTATACGTTTTTTAAAATCCTATAAACAACTTTGATTGGCTTAGTACAGGCTAAATATCTGCCTCTGAGCCAATAAAATATGTTAAGAAAATCATATTTACCTTTTACTTTGTTGTATTTTGTGATAAATAGATGGATATACAAGGAGACAAGAGGAAGTCCTGAGAGCCACAGAGATGCTTAGCGCATTCTTGGATTCTCATTTTGGGTAATTTGTTCACAGCTTTCACCTTTATCTAACCTGGTATAACTGGCCACTCTTTCTCTGAATTTCCCAATTCATTTAGTCATGGTGAAAATCTAATGTCCTTTATGAAGTCACCTAGAAGCAAGGACATGGTACGGAAGTCATATGTTGTAACAGAAAGTCTCACAGTTCAACAGAAAGTAGATTAGATGAAATACAAATATTCATTAATTAATAGCATTAATTTTAATTCAACATTAATTTTATTAATATTATTAATACTACAATCACTTTCTTAATGTACACTGTATTCAGTGATGTTAAAAACACAGTCACATTGAAATCATTTTGACACTTCTTTTGTGTTTTTTCCTTATAGTCCAGTCCCAAGCACAGAGACTTAGCTAATTTCTTTGTACCTAACTTTTCAGAAGCTTCTTTAATTTCTAAGATCCTGGGGTTGAAAATCTGCAGGACACAAAGTAAACGTTAGCTATAATGTCTTCATTAAGGTTAAATTAAACAGAAGAAAGTGTTGATTGTGTGCAAGGAAAACCTAAATGAGCTAAGTCTGAGACTGTGAAATAGGCTCCCTAGAGGAAGCCTTTGAATGGATTCTTTCAAAATTACCCAAGCAAAATTCTTTCAGGCAGATACTGTAGATTTGAATCTTTGCTGCTGATATGTTTGGAAAAACAGAGTATGTAATTCAGATATGTATTGCCAAAACTATAAGGCATGATGATCCTGTATTCCCATTCTTATCTGTGGATGAATACATTTTCTAATCTTTCATATATATTTATAAGGAATTATATAGTTATACAAGCCTGGCCACCATCCTGGATTACCTCTTGCCACTCTAGGAACAATGGCTGTTGTAGTTGGAATGTAATTGGCCCCCATAAGCTCATAGGGAGTGGTACTACTAGAAGGTGAGGCCTTGTTGGAGGAAGTGTGTCACTGTGGGGCTGGACTTTGAGGTCTCATATATGCTTAAGCTATGCCCAGTGGCTCAGCTCACTTCCTATTGCATTCAGATCAAGATGTAGAATTCTTGGTTTCTTCTCCAGCACCATGTCTACCTGCATACCGCCATGTCCCACCATGATATTAATGGACTAAAACTCTGAACTGTAAGTCACCCCAATTAAACGTTTTCCTTTATAAGAGTTGCCATGGTCATGGTGTCTCTTCATAGCAACAAAAACCCTCAATAAGATAGGGGCCTAATATTCCCAAAACAAATATTTTGTTTTCAAATTAGACCATTTCACAAATGAGTTCTGTCCCTTATTTTCTATTCACATTTTAGGTCCTTATATTCGTCTGATGTGTGGTGAGGATCTCAGTTAAATCTCCATCAGAACTTAACCACACATCCGACTCCCTTGTTAATTTCCTGCCTTACACTGGCTGTAACATCTCACACAGCTTGGTTGCTGGATTTTCTTCTGACTATCTCTCCCCACTTCTGTCCTTTGTTTCAGAGTTATACTAGTTACATTTTACATGAATTATGAAAAGAGCTAACTGAAAAGGTATATAAGATAGAAAAACAGAAGAATAATGTTTCTATTGATTAGTAATCTATGTCATTGCATCTGCTGACCAGTTAATCAGTAAATGTTTCGGATTACACAATGTGGAACAGTGAGAAGAGACTCTGGAACTAAGAATGTTGCAATGACAGATTTGTATTGTTGGTGCAAAAGATGTTACTACCAGTGGACTGGTGACCACAGAGATTAACCAACAACTTCCCTTGGTCATTTCTTTTTTTTTTTTTTTTTTTTTTTTTTTTGGTTTTTCGAGACAGGGTTTCTCTGTGTAGCTTTGCGCCTTTCCTGGAACTCACTTGGTAGTCCAGGCTGACCTCGAACTCACAGAGATCCGCCTGGCTCTGCCTCCCGAGTTCCCTTGGTCATTTCTAATAAAATTTCTTCCAACAGTGTACAAACTGATGACCAAATTACATCTTCTGTAAGTACAGTATGCTGTGGACCACAGACAATTTAGCAGAGACACATTTAAGTTAGGATAAGGGGAAATTCTAGAAAGGAATAGAAAATGTTGTCATTTTTGTACCTGGATGCTTGTTTTAATTTTCCCTTCTAGACAACTAAAGATATGAGTTTCTGCTGAAGAGAAATATATGACTTTGAACTTCAAGCTCCATATTCTCATGTTCTCCCATACCTAAGCTGAAACATAAAAAGTAAAAAACAAGAAACTTAAAAAAAAAATAGAACAAACTAGGCCTTCTGAATGTAGGTGAAAGTCACGTGGCTTGATGTGTTTGTGGGTCCCCTGGCAATGGGACCAGGACATATCCTGGGTACAGGAATTGGCTTTTTAGAGCCCATTCCCTATGGTGCGATGCCTTACTCAGCCTTGATGGAAGCAGGAGGGGCTAGGTCCAGCCCCAACTTGGTATGCCAGCCTGTGGTGACTATCCAAGGGAGGCATTACCCTCTATGAGGAGGGGATGGGGTGGGATGGGGGTAGGTGGGGGGTAGAAGAAGGGGAGGGAGATGGAACAGGAGTTGGTATGTAAAAGGAAAGAAAAAAATTAAATAACAACAACATAATATAATTCCATTTGTAAAGCAACATTTGACTTCATTGGTCTGTGATTTAATGCCAAAATCTCCTATCAACTTCTTGCCACTGCCATGATAGTTTAGACATTAACTTGAAGATTTCTTGCCATTTTAAGTTGAATATATATGGCAGTATATTAATTACTTTTCTCTTTGCTGGGACAAAATATTTGACAAAAGAAACCCAAGAAAAGAAAGGCTACTTTTGGCTTGCACTTTCATTGTCTTAAGGCAGGAAAGTCATTTGTGCTTTTGAATAACATTGGGTCCACAGAGAACACAGAGAAATGAAGGATGGTGCTCAACTCACTTTCTCCTCTTTAGTGAGTGAAGGACCCCAGCCTATGGCATACAGCCACCAATATTTAAGATGGTTCTTCTCTCCTCTGTTAAACCTTTCTGGACACATATGTTTAGCTCTCATTCCTAATCAACGAAGCTTGCTTTTATAGCAGAATTAGACCATCACAGAAAGCCATAAATGATCAAAATGAAGAAAACAATGAACCATGAGGTACCCAGTCCCAGTTGATACATCTACAATAGAACTCCTACATCTAAGATTCAGGGAACATCAAGGAAGAGGGGCAGAGAGGCTGTCGGTCCAGGAAGAGATCTAGGCAGTTTGCTGGGAGAGTCTGCTATATAGGGCAGAGAAGATGTAAACATGAAATTGTAACTTTGTGGCTGCCAAAATAAGACCTGAACAAATTTATACCAGTTGACACCCAACATGGATGAGGGAAATCTCACATGGTCCCACCCTAGGTTAAGAGTTGCCTCTGTGAGTTCGAGGCCAGCCTGGGCTACCAAGTGAGTTCCAGGACAGGCACAAAGCTACACAGAGAAACCCTGTCTCAAAAAACCAAAAAAAAAAAAAAGAGTTGCAATCAATGACTGCTGAGAGATGGAGAATCAGTCTTCCCCAGGGGTAAGCCCCTAATTAGTTATCCAATTATAAGTCATAAGCCTTAAAAACTTATACATATAAGCAATACTGAACAGATTCAGCAGGTTCTATTTTGAGATTTATTCACATACACAGACACTTTGTGTGTATGCATGCATGCATGTGTATACATATGTAAGTCTGTAAGTATATAGCAATAATAATCAAAGAAAAAAGAGGAAGGAACATTTGGGAAGGAACAAAGGAATGGAGCATTTGAGAGGTTTTATGAGAGAGAGGGAAATGACAAAATATTTTAATTAAAAACAAATTTTAAAAATAAAGCTTTCTGGAAATATCCTCATGTATATACCCAGAGGCTTGTTTCCAAGGCAACCCTACTCCTGTCTAATTGACAATCGAGATTAATAACCATAACTTTGAATCATAGATTGAAGTTCATTTTAATCATAATTCATCTATAATATTATCATTTTCCTGTGAATATATCTTTTGCTTTTTAATAAAAATATCAGTAGGCATGTGTATAGATAGGTTTCTGAATTTATATTCTGTTCCTTTGCTTTTTGAGCCCATTCTTCCACAAGCTGACATGGTTGTCATTAATGTAACCTTGAATTTAGTTTTGAAATTTTGTAGTACAAGTATTTGCCTTTATTTCATGTTGTTTTTTCAAACTAAACCCACCAATTTAATTAATTTGTTTCTCCACATAAACATTAGCATCAGTGTGTCAAAGACAAAAGAATTCTGTAGAGATTTTTGAATTAAACAATTAATGAGCTGCATTAAATATATTATTGATGTAAAGTTAACTTTTTAAAGTGATAGAATATTGTAATTTATAAGTATAGTAAATCTATTTGTTTGCTATTTATTTGATTTTTTTCTCCAAAATGTCCTTTTTTCAGCATAGAAATATAGTTGTTGGCCCAAGGGGTCCCATGGGAACACCCAGACAAACACAGGCTGTTGCCAAGGCTATCGGCTGCTCTCTACAGAATGATGGCGGCCCCAGCGGGGAAGACAACACCTGTACAACTCATTGAACATGGAGAAGTTGAACTGGTACCTGCCTAGAGCCTTCACTGCTCAGAGTTAATGGGTTATTGTTCTTGGAGTCAGAAAGCACTCTGCATACTACCAAAGAAGAAATGTAAACACCAGCCCAGCTACAAAAACTTCAGTCTACTCTAGTGACCTGGCTGCGAGGTCTGTTAGTGGAATGGTGTCACAAAGTTTATCCGATTAACCACAAAATATCTCATTGGCTTAGGACTCACTCTACTAGAAGGAATCCAATGCTTGATATTACTATGGTGACCCCAAACCTGAGCCTACAGAGCCCATGGATCTAGGAGAAAACCAAATGCTGTTCTACTGTAGGAATGTGGTGATAAACGGCTGCTAATGATATCCTGCTATACTTATAGAGTGCTAAATTGCTCAGCCATCATCAGAGAAGCAAATGGGAACAAATACAGAGACCCCATAGCCAGATAGTATGCAGAGGGTGAGAGACCTTGGAACATTCAGCTCTCAAGAGGATGTCTCCATCAAATCCCTCCTCCCGGGGCTCGGGGAACCCCGAGTGTGGCGATAAGTGTGTCTCTCGTCTGTAT